CACTGAAGTTACACCAGGATGTGGCCCATGCCTTTAATCCTAGCACTTGGGAGGCAGAGGCAGGTGGATCTCCGTGTTCCAGGCTTGCCTCGACTAGTGAGATCCGTTCTCAAAAGAACAGAAAAAGAAAAAGAAAGAAAGAAAAGCAACGATTTACAATAGACACACCTGAAAAGCAAATGGCCTGTAAAGACCATAGCTACTCTCACAGGGCCCAGTCTCTCAAAGTACCCAGTGCCATTTCCGGCTAATCAAAGGGCCTTCAAAGGATGCCATTCCCAGGGCAGTGCCACAAGGGCCAGTCCTTACACAGTAAGCAGCACCTTTACTCTGGCCAACAGATGCACGTTCGTTACAATGATGACATCCGAAGACCCAGCATGTCCCCACACCAGGTAAAACCACACACTGACATCGAAGTACGTGAGCAACTCACCAGGCCTAGACATGCATGCGCACCAGCACCCTCCAAAGGCAGACACACATGCGTTTAGCACACCAGCCCACACCCCACACTCCAGCAGTAAAGCTCGCACAGCCATTCCCAAATCGTAAAACTTGGTTCTCAACGCTTTGGACCCCCAACCCCCCTAAAAAGAGAAGGGAGCTAATGTCTTTCCATGGTTCCCTCCACTGATTCTCCGTACACCTAAGTACAGCGAGCAAGACCAACTTCTTGCCAAGCGTCCTACCCAAGAGAGACACGCGCGATCATCCGCAGGCTAGAACTGGGCTCATGGCTACTGCCTACTCACCTGGCAAGCAGCCCTGTGTTAGATGGCCGGACAGAAAAAAACTATGGAAAAAAAAAAACAAACTCAATTCTAAGGGTGAAAAATTTTAAAACACTCATTTATTATGCAGCTGAGTATAGGTGAGTAAATGTGCACTATGGTGCACACGTGGAGGTCAGAGGTCATCTACATGTGTCAGTTCTCTCCTTCCAACACGTGGTTCCTAAGCTTCAACCCAATTCCTGTTTGACGGCCAGCACCTTTAACCCAATGGGCCATCTCACTGCCTTGATTCTGGGATCATTTATCCCAACCAACTTAACATGCCTAGGCTCCAAGTCATCACTCAAACGGAGTGTAGCATTCAACACGGGCTGTGCTAAAGTCACCAACCAGATGGCGGCACCTCACTGAAAACTACCATGGAGACGCCAAGGTCAGGACTGTCACCTAGGAGCGACCAGGTCTGTCACTTAAAAACCCCACAGAAGAGCTGAAATGCGGCCCACCTGGCAAAGTGCTTGCCTAGCAAGCAGAAAGCCCCAGCAGCGGGAAAAAAAAAACAAAAATCCAGGTGTGGTAGCACATACCTGTAACCCTCAAATTTCGGGAAGTAGAGGCAGAAGAATCAGGAGCTCAAAGCCATACTCTACTGTGTAGAGACCAGGAGACCAGCCTGGGACACACGACATGCTATCTCAAAATCAAGAAATGCTGCACCTTAGCCCATCATTCCTGTTACGTCAAAGAAAGAGACACCAAAGGTGTTAGAAAGGGAATTTCTAGAAATATGTGTCAGAATTGCTGAGGTGTGGCTTCGGATGTCTGTAAAGAACTCAGATGTCAACAGCACCAGCCAGGGTTCCCTCTGAATGACACACAGTATAGGTTTTATAGGAAGGGCAGAAAACCTGAATTCTCTAGTCAGTGGGTAAGTTCCGCCCGGTACAGTCCTGAATCTACTAGAGCCATAAAATGAGCCACCAGACAGACACGAACCCAGCACCCACTCAGGACCTCTCTCCCCGGCCCTCCACTGCCAGCACAGCAGGTCTTCCCCGCTGCCCTGTACGACGGAACCTCCGAGGGGCTCCACTCCCTCCAACGGCTCAACTCCACCCTCCAGTCAGTCAGTGTCTCTACTCTCTGTGCACCAAACTGGCTCCTCACAGGGCCACAGTCAGGTTACTAAGGTCCAGCACATTCCAGTAATGTCGGGACAGACAGCTTTCCTGTGACTATATAGTGCAAAATACTAGGACCAGTGAAACATATGGAATCCTAGGTGCTATTTAAAAATACAAGTTTGGGAGCTGGTAAGGTGGCTCAGCAGTTAAGAGCACTGGCTGCTCTTCCAGAGGTACTAAATTCAATTCCCAGCAACCACATAGTGGCTCATGGCCATCTATAAAAAGGGATCTCATGCCATCTTCTGACATACAGATGTACATGCAGACTGAGCATTCATACATACATACATAAACTAATTAACTAATAAAAAAATACAAGTTTCAAGACAGGCAGTGGTGACACAAGCCTTTAATCTCAGCACTCAGGAAGCAGAGGCAGGCAGATCTCTGAGTTTGAAGCCAGCCTGGTCTACAAGAGAGAATTTCAGGAGAGCAAGGGCTACACAGAGAAACCTTGTCTTGAAAAAAAAACAAACACAAACAAACAAATACAACTTGCAACAAGTTTAAGGTGTGGGACTTATTATTAATGCTTATAGAGATTATGCTAATATGCAAAAAACTGAGACTATAACACCAAAATCAAATTAATTCCAAATCTGGGCTCTTGCAGGATGACCCTGCAGAGTAACCTTGCTTAGCTTCTTTTGGCCTCAGTTTGCCCCTGGGAAAAATGGTAATAATCACAAGTCCAGCATCAACAGAGGCACAGAGTGTTTTGTATGGTGTAACAGGAACAGGGAAGAGAAATGGGAAAAGCCTTTATTCCATGTTCCTCCCACAAGCATAAATTAAAAATAAGGCCACAGGAATAAGACAAAATTTGCGTTTATTTTGAAAATAAATGTTTCAGGTTTGATGGCTCATTCTTTTCTTCTCAGTACTCAGCAGACTGAGGTAGGTGACTGTCATAAATTCAAGGAGAGTCTAAACTGCATACTGAATTCTAGGCCAGGCTAGCTCAATTAGCATTAGCCAGTCTCAAACAAAATAGAGCAGAAAAAGAAACCGAAAGCAAAAACAAGTAATACACCAGATGTTTTATTCTCTTTTGAAAGAGTAACATTATTTTCTCAGGGCTGGAGACAGCTCAGTGGCTAAGAAGACCCGAGTTTGGTCCCGAGCACTCACAACACCTGTAACTCCAGCTTCAGGGAGCTGACCTCTGTGAACAACCACCCACACCTAACATCCTCCACAAAGACATAATTGTAAGCAAACCTTTCCTTTTAATATTATCTTCTCATGGAGAAATAGGATCATAAACATTATAAATTATTTTCAGTAAGAAAATAATTTGGAGGACAAATGTTTGGAGGACAAACATCACTATGGGCTGGGGAACATGGCATGCTTGTAGGTTTGAGGGTTCAGGCTGTTCCCTGGGGCCATGCCGGCCAGCCACTGCTGAAAAATGCCACTACTGAAAAATTGACACCTCCAGCCCATTGGGCTCTCACTGAAGCCATTTGCACCTCCCAGCACTGGGGGCAGTAGAGAGTAAGTGCGAGAGGGCTCATCCACCAGCTGCAGACTGCAACCCAAGCAGGCATCTCTTGAGCAACTGAGGTAACTGAGACAGTTATGCTGCTCTTTGCCCCAAGTCCACAGTCCGGCTCCATGAAGGCGGGCACATAAGTGATCGTGGTAAGATCAAAGGTGCCCTCATGCTGAGGTCAGACCTGTAAGATGGGGGAGACCCTCATAGGTTCTGGACACCAAGCTTAGCCCACTGTGTTGCTGGTATGCGGACTCTAGGTACAGACCGTCAGCTGCCCCTCAAACTATGACGCGCTTACTTGCCTATCCTGAATTTGTCCCCACAGTCTAGGACAGGGGCCCGACCAAAGCTTCACAGAGTCCAATATCCATACAATTGTCTAGGGTTGGGAGAAACAGAAGAGAGGCATTT